TACACTTGTTAAAGTTAGCCGTATCAAAACCCAGCAGATGACAGACAGCAGACAAAATCAACGGAGAACATAGCACACTGATACACTGCCTCAAGTTGCCATACTTTAAAGAAAAAGTGAATAGCAAAACACTAACATCAAAGCAGATGAAGCTCTGTAACAGAATACACGCTCTGAAGATAATAGTTAGTGTGAATATTCAAGCTTTAAAAGATGCAAAGAGTGAATACATCTGCTCTACTGTGACCGATTTTCAGCCCTGTCACCAACAATCCACCACTACTGATTTCTTTCATCTAGATGACCTCAAACAGACAGTCTACATCTCCCCACATGACTTACACCAGCAGAAAAGGACTGCTTTGACTGGTGCCAGGTCTTGTTCTGGCCGCCCTGGGCCCCTTTCCAACATAACTACTTGTAGCATGGTACATCCAAGTACGTAGTGGATCGGTATGAACAGCATATGTCCAAGCCACCTCAGTCGACTAAGGTTCACCGCCTTAGTAGATGGTGCGTAGAATATGACAGTACAGGCGAGAGACACTTAAACCTGCTGCATAAGCCTAGTATGGTAGCAGTAACTGAATAGTTTACGTAATATGTAACAAAGTTAATGTCAATATTTTATTTGCTTTCAAAACCTTACTAGTAGACTAGGTCAACCATAAAGTAAGATGAGACGTCGATGTAGTACTAAGCCCATTAGCAAAAAGAATAAGCTGTTCTATGCAGGAAGGTTCGATGTTCCCAAACAGCGTCCTTTCAGTCTAACTGCATGTCTTAAAAACAAACAAATTGAGAATTTCTTTACTCAATTTTCAGTGTTTTCGGTTCAGTAGCAACGATATCTTCAGTTTTTGCTGGATCATCTCAATAACAAATCTTTCATAGATTTCCTGTGAAATCATCTACTTGTTGTATTCACGTGGAAGAGGAGTCTATTTTTAACTCATATAACTCTTTAATTAACAGATAACGTATCGAATTCCGAACACTACAGCGGTGGATTTTAAGTATTGCACTTACATTTGAGCATGCATGATTTTCGTTCCCATTTTTACTGAAAGAATAATCACATGGGTGACTGTTTCGTAGATATATTCAGTTGTAGATGTTTTCAGCTGGTAGGAGTATCCTCTACACTAAAGATATATGTGGTATATAACTTCGCTTCAGCATAGACATCTACACATCAACATCAGAAGGCCTATAACAGAGGTTTGATCATTTCAATCACCAGGAAACTGTATAGAGTGATACATTTTAATTATACTCATGAAGAAGAAATAGTAGTGAGGTATATAATAAGTCGATGGACATTGAAAACCTATGGACCATTGGATGTTAACCCATTAGAAGAAGAAATACTCGCTCAATGCTAGAAATGAGTCATAACCTCAGACCCATATTATTACTTTTACCAAGTCTTTGCAAGAACTGGCGCGGAATCATGCTCCACTCCTGTCAACCCAAAGCAAGCAAAATATCAAGCCACATCTTCATGGAGAGACTAAAGAATGCTTTGGATTCAAAATTACGACCGGAACAGGCTGGCTAGCTGGATGGTTTGAGGAAGAACAAATCATGTGAGAATCTAAATACAATCCTACGCCTGGTATCATCATAGAACAGAGTATAGAATGACAATCAACTCTCTATCTTAACTTCATTGACTTTGAAAAGGGCTTCGACAGTGTCGACCGAGCAATAAATTGGCAGCCAGCTGCTTCAACACTACGGTTTTAGCACTACAAACCTTTATCAATCTCATTCTACAGCAATATGGCGACGCTGCATGCTAGGTGATCCACAATGAAAAGCTCAGCTCAGTTACGCCTTTGAAGAGAAGACAGGAAGGTATAAGACAAGGCTGCAGCTTACTATCACTCGTGATCTTCCTGATTGTGGTTGACTGGATCATGCAACAAACCATGAGGTGCGAGATGGGCATTTGCTGGCTGGACCGATGAGAAGACTCTAGATGGTTTGGATTTCTCCGATGATTGCTGATGTCTAATGTCTTGTCGCACAGATTCGAAGATCTACAGGCAAAAACTAACAAGTTGATAGAAGAGGTGAGGCAGGGAAGACAGAACTTCAAGTGAATGTTGAGAAGACAGATGTGACAGGCAGATGAAGATAAATAACAAACAACTACAACAAGCACCAATCACCATCAACGGGAGGAACCTAAAGCAAGTTGTCTCTTTCAACTACCCAGACAAGGCAGCATCGTTTCAACTACAGGTGGCACACATGAGGACGTCAAAGTCAGGATCGAAAACACAGTAAGACAGGCTTTCATCAATCTGAAATCAGTGTGGAGATCTACTGCACTCAGCGTAGAGCGTGAACAACATCCGGATTTCCAACACTAGTGGGAATTAAGTCAGTGCTTCTACATGGTGGTTCAGAAACTTGGCGCGTCACGAAAAGCATTTCCAACAAACAACAGACATTCACCAACAGCTGCCAGCTACACTAGCTCACTGGATACTGAAGATGGAGATCAGATGGCCAAAATAATAAGAATAAGGGACAAGGAACTCTGTCTGTCAACGAACCAACGAAGCACCCATTATCCAACAAATATGTAGATGCAGAAAGTGGAGATGCATTGGATTGGGCATACACTGAGAAGACTGACTGGAGACATCACACGCCAGAACCTCTAGTGGAATGCGAAGGGGAAACGACGAGTTGGGAGTCCCAGGTGAGGTTGATATGGAAGAGATGGATGATGTGAGGAATAAATGGAAGCTTGTGGGCAGTCGTGGAATCAGGTTGAAAAGACGGCAGAGAATAAAGTACAATGGAGGTGTGCTACTTAAGCCCGATGTTCCAGTAGGAACCCAAGGGAAAAGTAATAATAAGAATAATATAATACCAGCGGGTTGTAATCAGTTGTCTGTTGTGTACATTCAACAGTCTGTTTCATCACTACCGAGTTCGACTCTCACATATTTGGTCCTATCACAACTGAGTTAGCTTATGATAAATTTTGCATGATCATCACCTTCACGCATCTTACAAAATAGTTGTCAATGTGTAAGTTGATCAAATGTAGTAGATGCTGTTTTCCAGAGAGACTCTGTATACCTCATGATGGCGTTTCGTTCCATTTGAGCATTGTCTGGTGTATGTACATGTATTCATGTTGCTGAATACAAGGAGACTGAAATCTGTCACCTATCTCCACTTCAGCATGTGTTGTGAGACGAGCTCTGTCCATATTCTGGATGAAACACGCCTGTATTCACTTGTGGAGGAGTAGAATGAGTGTGACAAATGATCTACGGAATGGGTGTTGAGATGAATTTCGAAGTGAGATTTGTTATAACTGAGTTTAAGCGACGCTGAGAATGTGGAAATGAGTGTGTATTCTGTTGACTGAATTTGGATGTTATGCAATCCCTGCTTTGGAGGGTACTGGAATCAGTCGTTGATTCCTGTGTGTTCTTTCATTCTACGCAGTTTGTGTGCTGAGATAAATTTGCAAGTTTACAATTCTTCATAGGTATTTGTGATGACTGTTCTCCAATTGAAGCTGTATTGGTAGTGTGGAGTGTTGATTGAGTGGAGTAGACTATGATGTTGATTGTTGAAGTTTGTTTATTGTATACTGTGTGACGTTAATTTGATGTATTTCATTAATTGATGTAGATGATGTGATGGGATTTCATAATTGGTAAAGTTTTTGTGGTAATCAGTCTAATCATAGATATGTTAATAGAGACTTGTTTAGATACAGAATAATAGAAGGATATTGAATGGATTTTTCAGAGTGAATGTTTTGCATCTAGAATGCGTTTCGGAATACTAATCAGGAAATGTTTGTTTTCGACAGTTTTTGTTGCAATCAGTTTGATTCTATGTAAGTTTGTACATTCATTTTCATCTCTTTTGTATTGAGATTGCCCGTTTTGTTTATTGTTCCTAATCATGTATCGGCCTCATTTGTGAATTCGCATGAAACATCTTTATTATTTTCTTTATTTCCACTATTTTTTCAGCTGGTATTTTTACATTATCAAAAGTTTGCTGAGATTTTCATTAGTGTTGATTGGTTACTGCAAACCTTACTATATTGGGTTTATGCATTTTACTGGCCAATGAGTTTCTGACTTTCAATAGTTTGACTTTATAGTTCTTTTAGAAGTGTCTTTGCATCGTAAAGAACCATCTATCTTCTGAATTTTATCTCTAGAAAACTAATCTTTCAGTGTTATTCACAGTGACTTGCTCACTGAAACTATGGGGCTTTTTATCATCAGCAGCTGCAAATGGTTATGCAAAATAGATGTAATCTGAATGGCCATGTTAGGAAGAATCTTGCATACTTGTAATCGATCTGAATAGTATTCTCTATGTTTATTTAATTATGCACGTATCAAATTTTCTTCAGTGTTCTAAGCGGCTATTATTTGAGGTGTTTAGCTGTCTTCCTTTATCGGAATAATCAAATGTCTCAACTGACTGAAACTACTTGTTCGATCAGTAAAACAGTTAGTTTCTGTATCAGGCATGATTCCCTTGTTTTCAGTTCTGTAAAAACTGATACTGGTGGAATGACCAATCAAGTATTTGTCTTTTTAGGTAGATTAGCTTGGTGGCCATGGCATTTTACGTTGACAAGGATGTCTATTTAGGTAACGAAATGACTGCATAGTGAAAATTCAGATACAGATCACCTTTTCAGCTGGTACAAGCAGTTAGCAGGAAACCCTAAACCTAGGTTTCGTGCTTTCTGTCACTCATCAGCAAGACATGTCTGCAACCTTGATGAAAACAATGTCCTGTCATGGAATCCGGCAGACACATAAGTGTTAACCTTACCACTATATTCGAAGAACTGCTTACTGATTTTTCCCCAAAGTCTTTGTAACACAGAGAAGATCAACATTACTAACATCTCTTTGCCAATATTTAGCAGTTTTTTGAACAGTGCGATCCAACGAACTAATAGTTATAAATTGTATACTTCCTAGCACAACAATATGGAAGTGCAACCAAATGAAGATGAGGATATTGTACAATGGACAACAGCACTACACCAATCAATAAACAGTTTAAAAACAAAACAATTCGGTGAAATTTTGATGAAACTGAATACTGTCAAGGGACATAAGTTTAAAGAAAGTGTAATCAACTACTTCATTGATGGTGCCAGTTCAATTTATGTGGCTGTGGAAGCTGGATTTGAGCAGGCTGTAAGTTGAAGTTGTCACCGTTCATACCTAACTTTGCTTATGACAAATAAACATGCTATTTAACCTATTACTTTGCATCTTGGAAGTAGATCGCTTGAAAAACCAGTGAATCAACGAAGGAACTAGAAAATTTTCAGTTCTTTCTTCTTGCGTCGTCAACAGTTCAGATATTTTAAACACCATCAAATCACTGTTGACACAGCGTTTCTTGGCAAATAGATTGCTTTTAAGATCTGAGTGCTTCATTCTCAGGAGTTGAGTCACTCTAAATTAAACTAGTAAGGATCATACGACGCTCAATTTGGAAGGGATTAGGTGTGTAGTCGTTTAAAATAACCAGCTCTTTGAAATTAAAATCATCGATAGTAAGCCGTATTTCATGCAACATGTGATACAACATCTGATTAACATTCTTTTATTTCTTTTTAGCTATGTGGTATCTACTGGCTCATTATAGTTGGTTATAAGTACAGTGACACAGGTAATTCACTTACACAAATATTAAACGGCTTATAAAGGAGTTGTGAGGTTCTTTGGTAACACCACTACAGTGGGATGGACGAAACAATTACTAACGCAGGTGGAAAATTAACTTAGCTTGTATATTGTTTCAGGAGCTTCAACTCAGATACATTCTGCCCCAAGGTTGGTTCTTACCGACCTACCTAACAAAACTAAGGCCGCGAAAGAGCTCCAAGTTTCAATATAACTTTAGGGCAGCATTCCGAAGAACTTACTTCAAAGTTCCTTTAAGGGATGGAGGCGATATATTCGACACAGAACTAATTAGATTATTTGTGAAGGTGTGACAAATGCGGGATGTCCTATCAATTCAAAATGTTACCATAATATTAATCATTTTAAAAGTCATTTCTGTAATATATACTAAAATCACTATGATACGACTATAATAACATAAATGTAAAAAATACTGACCACTGTCATAATTCATACACTACACAAAACAAGGGAAAATTGATTCCCAAAGAGTTAAATGTCGTGTACGTCGTAGATGCGCTGATCACGTGGTTACACCTCACCAGATTCTTGGACATCATCACAGGTACAGCAGGTGGTCAGTCATCATATTACTCTATAATAGGGATAAACTTCATTCTTTAAACAGGACTGCACTCTGAATTAGTTCATTCGAGAGGTGTGTTCACAAGAAACTGTTCAAAATCTTAAATTCTTCATATAAAATCCGATAAATTAGATTAGGGATATATAAACATTTCTGTTCATTATTCTAATTTGTCAATGACGGAGTTGTTGTGAAAGAGTTGCCTTGTGACCATGTTGTTCTGATACTTAGAAAAACGTCATTTGGTCTTTTGCATGTTAACAACAGCGTTTAACCTTAGATTAATGCACTGACTATACAGAGCGTGGTTAATTAGTTAAAGATCAGTGATGATAAGTATGTTGCGTTTTACACACACACAGTACTGCTGCAAGGCTGACAGGAGCTCGTTTCTGAGCCCACTGCTATCAGTATATCAATAAAGATGATAGAAATACTTATATATTTAGATTGTGCGTCCACTTGTGGATGTGTGATGGGCTAAATCAGTCATCTTCTGTCGAAAATCAGAGCAACAAGTCAATGTAAATCACCTTAAATGCTGATGGGAGGGTAGTTCTTTTTACTGAAGCTGACAGTATCACGTCGTGGTGCAGGTAGATTTATTTCACTTTATTAAAACTTAGTCTGTTCTATTTCAGCATACCCACTGACTGTTTCTTTTCTTTCACCATCACTTCAACAGGATTTCATAAAGGTGATAGTAGCGTGATTTCAGTTGTTCTAAATTCCACCGGCAGGCCTTCGAAACTAATGGGAATTATTTACCAGTATATTAGCTCAAATTAAAAACCTTTATTTTAAGATTCCTGTCTACAATGAGAATGCTATCTCATGGAATTTCATGCTGTTTATTAATTTTTGACCCTAGTACTGGTCAGGCGAAGTTAAAAGATGGTCAGCGTATAATGGAGAACCGTCGTATGAAGGACATTTATTCCTCGCGAACACCTTTATGTAAAGCATGACCCCTCAGATGAAATTCAAACAACGCTGCAAGCTAGCGGCTTAAGATATCGTCAGATACGACCTAAAACCGACGTAATTTGTGACCATGCCATAGTTTCTGTAACTTTTGTATAATGTTGCAATATGTATCAGGTGTTGAATTGCCCTGTTATACTGCTTTACGTTCCCTGGCCCTTCCGCTTTTTCACGATCCATCCTATTTTTTCAAACTTATCTTAGTACTGAAATATTATTTTTTCCTGCGCATACTCCTTTGGCCATGTAACCTTGAATCTGTTTTGAATGAATGAGATAAATAGCGTGTCGAAAAAGCATGCAACTGTTTACTTGATATTATCATTAGATGCTTCATATTGCTTTCGACTTACTAAAATTCAGATTATATTGGCCTGGATAGAAAAAGGTTCATATTGCCAGTAGACTCCATGAATACAAGACATAGACTGTGTTGAAGACGAAATATATCTTTAATGTGAAATGAAGATTGTAAGAAATAAATATAAGTAAAATGTCACAGTAGATGATGGCTAGCTGCACTTTAAAACTAAACTTTCTTATTTATTACTAAGCAGTAAAAATCATGTACTGAAGATCTACCGAACTAATGACTATTCGTATTTACTCCTTTTCTACAATATAAAACGTATAAACGGAAACAACTGAACTTTTGAGAACGCTTTTATAAAATTATGGATTCTGATAAACAAAATCTCAGTACAGTTGGTGCGTAATTCCTCAACATAAACGTATAACTGTAGGACCTGAGAAAGAAGTTATCGAAAAGAATATTCTTTCTTCACTCAAATGGTTTTCGAATTCAAGGAACTGTAAGATTGGAATTTTCAGTCACATTGATAAAATTCCATTGTGTTTAATAAGCTGTTAGATGAATTTCTTGAAGCAGTACATCAATCCAAAATGACTGAGTTAGCTATTCCACCTTTACCTAAGTCATTTGGTCTTCTAACGAGCTAAGTAATCCATTCAGTAGACCACTTACGTAGAGCTAAAGCACTTCATAAACGCTCTGAACTTTTAGCTAATAGAATAATTATTATTTCTGTGTGAATTGTATGTCTTCAGATTAGCATATTTGTACTTTTAAATACCTCAGGTTACACAGTTGCTGAACACTGGCGTGGTTAATGTCACTCAAAGAAATCAACAAAACAGCTGGACATGCCTTCATTTAGCCTGCCACTTAGGACTGGCTACAATAGTTAAGTCAATTCTGAGTTTCCATAGTGAAGAAAATTCAACTCAACTATCTAAATTCTATCAGCTGATTTGTATGCAAACAAGCGAAACCGAATCGACCAATGAAGGCACAGCATTACACTTGGCAGTTCAGTCAAAAAATTTAGAAACAGTAAACCAACTATTATACGATACAAGTATGATAAGTAAACATTGCATGAACCGAGGAGTAGAACGTGAAAAGAAACCAGAAGGAAAACTGTTCGAAGAATTCTGTACATTAACAGATAAAGATGGAAATACTGCGCTTCACAATGCTGTAACAGATAGACTGTACGTTTACTCGCTTCAAATTCGCTTTCAGTTTTCAGAATAATGTATACACAATTATCACATTAGGTGTCACTTGCAGAGTGTATTCATAAGATAAACACTAACCAATGTGTAGTTCTGTTTCCAGTTTAGAAACTGAATTTGATCTTGATACAGGTATCTTTGTTATGAAAATGTGCAGCTCAGGTTGCAGTTGATTTTAAAAAGTTGAAAATCTGTAAATAACAAGAGTTTCATATTCAGTATATTTTGAAAACTCATGGTTCTCCATTTTGTGCGTTCTTGAAAAAACTTTTAGTGACCAACCATTGAAAAGTAAGAAACACTGAAAGGATTCATCATTATGGTTTGTGATTGTAAAACGAATGTTCTTTCCATCCCATCCTTTTATAATGATCATTTAGAAAGACAGATACACGATTCAGTTTTGGGATGTTTTGATCCTTGTGAAAACCAGTATTTCGGGAAAGAATGACAGTGACAACTTCGATGAAAGGTTGTATTTATGAGTTGACAGAAATTGAGCAAAATCAAACAGTTTCTTGTTGATTTGTCTGCTCGACAGTCACTCATTTCGTTGAATGACTTCATATTCTTCTGAAGATCGCTGAAGTGGGACACAAATATGTCGCTGACATCATTACCGAATACTGGAGCAGAACGATGAGTGCACAAAAGTATTTAAAGTGATTCTTATTAGGTAAAAAATAGGTTAAGATCTATGAATTACAGACGTGATTTAATAAAAAAAAGGATAGTGAACAAATGAGAAGCTGCTCATCAGCGTTGATTACTGCTGTATCCATTAGCTACTGTTTTATTTTTATATTCCTTTACGTAATATCTGAATGGTGGTTGTTCTGGATCACCCACTACCTACCACCGCTAGTGTTAACCATGATGTTGAGTGGTGCTTTATTTATTAAAGAAACTGAAGGCTCAATATTTAATCGTTCATGGGATTGAAGATGTACATCATGAAGAAATATCAAGAAACTATGATTCACTGTTCCATATTTTTCAGTTGTTTTTTAGTTATTGGAAATGTTACTATCTTAAGTAATGATATAAATGAATAATATGTTGATTATTTTGTTCATATAATAACTCGAGTTTCAGTGTATCATAAATACTGATTAAAGTTTGTAGTCGAAAGCTAACATTCAGTCTATAATTTATGGGGATTTAAAGGTGAGTAGCATAAGAACATTGCGATAAACATAATGAAAACACAATAGAAAGTGATTGGATGGACTGTATATGACAGGAAACCCTTTATACTCCAGTGAATATCAAATATAACTAGTATAAAACGAAGTTTGACTTAATAGCAGTAATTTAGTACTACAAACTTTTAAGATTGATATACATACGTGTTACTGGATGAACTTTACAATACTAGTTATTTTATGAAGCAAGTTAATTTAGGCAGATTTTGCACTGATATCGAAGAGTTGTTGCAGTCTAAAAAAAAAGTAAGTTAGTATAACTCTGAGATTAATTTTGGATAAACTGTAGTAAATAAAAACTGTGGAGAATGCTTTTTGCTTCTAAAGGCAGAAATTCAAACAATCAGGCCCAGCATACTCCCATAGATTCACAAAGCGACCAGTTAGGTTAAACTTGCGTGAAGTAACACGTTATAAATATATATACATAAAAAATTATTTCACTTCTTTGTGGAACTCTGATTTACTGATGACGATAGTCAGGGAGATACTACAATATTTTTCAACTGTAACACCAACTCAAACTGAAAAGTGTAGGATGTACTACACCAAGCTTTGACTTCATTCCCTTTCTAGGTAATTTTCATTATGAAGTGTTATCAGCTTGAGAACAACTGAAAACCATAGAGCTCCGTACAGTGTTTTGTCTCTATTTGAGGCTCCATAACCAAAATATAGGTGAGATTCAGCACAAGACTCTCTTTTTTCCTGGGGACCACGTTATAATTCAGTTAGCGGACTATAATTTTAGGGTTCACATTTCCCAAATTCAGAGAAAATATAGTGTGGTTGTCATTCTATCTCATCGACAGACATCTATCCCCTACTAACTACTTAGTTAAACCTAACAATCGTAGTCTCTTAAGAGAAATTCAGAAATTCCATTCCAAAAGTAAACACTACTGGGTGTTTAGTTATTACTCAATATGTGATTTGCGACGAGTTTATTACCGCAGTATGTTGCGAATCTTCAGCAGTTAGAAAGTAAACACCTTCAGATTCCCATAAATATTTGATTCTTCATGAGATCTGAAGGTACTGAGAACTAAACCGAATGAGGTTATCTGTATTCAAATGGAATCTGCAAATAAAACGAAACAAGTTTCTACTATTTACTCCATTTCAGTAACTCTCGAGCTGTTATCGATCCATGATGAGAAAGATCTTGAAATCAATCTGTACTCAAAAACCATCCAAGTGGATTTTGAGTTATCAACTATCTTACTGTCTCAATAGTTGATATATCCTCATTCCACTATGACAACAAGAATATACTATATATAGCCTATCAAAAGTCTAATTATCCATCCTATGTAACCGTTAACCTTATACCATTTCACATCGATTATTTTACACTAAACACACATGAAGATAGTTGTGACACTTTTGATTGTTGATAGAAACAGCTTTTTACTGTCTGCTTACATGCGTAATAGAAGGTATTTCATGTACATTAACAAAAATTGACTTCTGTACTTATTCAGTGCTAAATTTCAGTTTAACTATATCTGTTTCTGAATTGTTTACGTTAGTATAACAACTAGTAAATACTAAGGAGCTATTTGTTGTTGTTTTGTTCTAATTCGAGACTTTCCATCATGTGCGTCGAAACTGAATCTCTAGTCTTCTAGTTTGACTGTATGAAGTTGGTGTTATTTTATGCCTGATCCATATAAATGGAAGCTACAAACTAACCGTTAAACGCATGATTGACTGTCTTGACAACTGGGATCTTAGGTTTTAATGGCTAATTATGACTTTTTAAGTTAATTAAGCGGCTTTTGATAGAGGTAAAATGTTTGAAACGTTAGCATAGGTCTCAAAACACTACTGATATACTGGTACTGGAAATCCCAGCCATATGAACGCAGTTTGATAGTTTAAAGGCACTTATTATCAGTGATGGAATTACTCTTTCTCATGTAAGGAAGCTGTTGTTTAATACTCCACGCTATTCATTAATAGGTCGACTGAGATCAACTCTAGAAACATCATATTGAAATCAATTAAACTTTTTTCTGCACAATAATTTCATGTGAAACCTGATTTTGTTTTTCATTTCCAGTTATGATATTGTTAGCACAATATGCAAGTATCATAATAAATCAATCCGTTTACCAAATAAACATGGATATACATGTATTTATTTGGCTAAGAATATAATGAAAGATTTTAAAATGTTATCCCTACTGGTTAAATACTCCACATCATCACTGACGCCAAGTAAACATTGTCCTAGACGATATTTATCTAAACAGTTGTATTCAATCAACAGTTCTAAGGGACAGAATATAATAAAGTCTAAGTTAAATCCAATTAAAAAATCAGAATCAAAGAAGGTTAACAGTGATAGTCATGGTAACAACAAGAAAATTAAAAAAACGACAAATCCTTTGAACCATTTAACTCTTGACCAGTTGAACGGGAATTTGAATATTAACTACACTGCTAATCTTAATAAATTTTATGCTTATTCATATCATAATGAAGACTATCATTCTGTTCACACATTATCAACAAAATTTTCAAATTTATCAACGCAACAAAAGTTTGGGAAGAATTTTCAACCTTTAAGTGGTTTGTCTGGCAATCGAATGGATTTGAATGAAAGAGAATCAAGTAGAAATATGTACCAGAACATTGAACAAGATACAAATGAGGAAATTCGGTTTACACAGAAGAAAATTGACTCCATGAAAAACAGTGAGTATACTATTCAGTTGTATAAGTGTATATTAGAAGGGTAAATATGGATATACAAATATTATTGATTTAAAACTTTGAAGGTTAACAAATGATCTAAATATACTTACTTACGAAGCCTAAGTAGAATCTATTATTCTGTATAACTAAGAAATGATTACACCCAGTTATTGACCAGTCTTCTCAAAAAGATGTAAGATCAGCTGTCAAGGAAAGCTTATTGCTTCAGTATATCTCCTTGTCATTCATCTGTGGTTGAAATTGTGTTTAGTTGTTTAGAAAAACTATATATTACCTACCTTGAATACTTTTCCATCATAATCATAGAGTTTCATCGATTATCACTGCTCAATAATCTATCAGTCGCTGGCTACTAGCATTTCAGATGAGACTTCTTGCTTCAGCAGAAAATTACAATATGACTTCAGGCGATTTTTTTAAACTAGATGGCTCCTTTTATTACTGTTCAACCGTGAGCTTTCAGTTTACATTTCGAGGTCAAATAAAATCTTTTCGATTTTAATCTTCTGATTATAATTGTCACACAGCAAAACATTATTGTTTACCAGATAACGTTTCGGACACAATTTATTCAGTGTCCATATTCATATCAGGTAAGTCTACAACCTTGAGACATGGTTTATATAGTTCCAATCCTCTCTCCTTCTTTAAAACAAAACTGGTAGAACTTTCCACATATCTTGGACAGGTTCAAAATCATTTCTATTGCATGTATTTGGTGTTGAGTCGATAAACATAGATTCGGTTATCAATCTCTCCTTCCACCCAGCTAAGCTAGTTTTAGATACTGTCGCTCTATCCCATCCTACAGTATGCAATTGTGTGCATAGTTATAGTCAAGCTTTTTTCTGAATCCCTTATCTTATTAGGATCTACTAATCTTGATTTAGCTAAGCTCTTAGCAAGGTGTTAAGTTTTAGCAATATTGGAGTGCAAGATTAAACGAAAGCAAGTTGGATTATGACAGCATGGTTCAACTTAAAAGGAAGGAAAGTCAAATTCATACAATGCTACGCAACAACAAATAATGCAGATCAAGAAAAGGTGGAGGAATTCTATAGACAACTTCTATCAGCACTAGACAAGACTCCAGTTGGCGACAACAAAATTGTAATGGGCGACATGAATACCAAACTGGGAACAGATAACACAGAAAAAGAACTCATCATGGGTCAAGAAGCACTTGGTGAAATGAATAAGAACAGAGAAATGTTTGCAGATTTCTGCGCATTCAGCGATTTAGTGATTGGAAGCAGTGTGTACAAGCACCAATATATTCACAAAGCAACACGGATTCGATGTCACTAGATGGAGACACTGAAAATCAGATCGACTTCGTCTCAATGTGAACAAAGTGGAAACGCAGCCTACTGGACACGAGATGAGATCAAGAAGTGGAGCAGATATAGGTTCACACCACTCAACATCTAGTGCAAGGAACCTACTTTCAAAGTCAAGTTGAAAGCCTTCACAGAAGTTAGTGATAGACCGTAGTTGAAGTTCAACACCCAGAACGGACACCGAACTGAAGGACGAAACTACAAACGACATCTTCACGTCAGCTATCAAGACAAAATGAGAGATATTGAGCAACATCCCTGAAGGAACTTGTGTGGAAGAAGACTAGGACTCTTTGAAAGAGATGTGGGAAGAAAACTGGGAAGGAAGAAGAAAGAAGATAAGACGAGGAATGGATCTTGACGGACACATGGGAACTAATAGAGCAGGGAGAGGAAGATGATGAAGGAGAAGATGAACCAGTGCAAGGATGAATAACGTAAAGAGGGACACTTTGAATCGACCACCATCTGCAACTAGTCCAGAAATACCGCCAGCAACCCGGTCTCAGAATCAAGTAATTTGGTAGTCGCTTCAACACTACGGTTTTAGCGCCACAAACCTTTATCAACCTCTTTCAACAGCTATATCCTATGCTATATGATGCTACATGCTAAGTGATCCACATTGGAATGCTCAGTTCAGTGACGCCTTTGAAGCGAAGTGAAGACAGCAGTAAGACAAGGTTGCCGCCTACTATCACGGGATCATGCAGCAAACCATGAGGGGCTAGAAGGTGGGCATATGCTGTTTGGCCGATGAAAAGACCCCAGAAGATTTGAATTTCGGCGATGATGATTTGTGTCTAATATTGCACAAGCTCAAAGATCTTTAGGCAAAAACTAACAAGTTGATAGAAGAGATGAGGCAGGGAAGACAGAACTTCAAGTGAATGTTGAGAAGACAGATGTGACAGGCAGATGAAGATAAATAACAAACAACTACAACAAGCACCAATCACCATCAACGGGAGGAACCTAAAGCAAGTTGTCTCTTTCAACTACCCAGACAAGGCAGCATCGTTTCAACTACAGGTGGCACACATGAGGACGTCAAAGTCAGGATCGAAAACACAGTAAGACAGGCTTTCATCAATCTGAAATCAGTGTGGAGATCTACTGCACTCAGCGTAGAGCGTGAACAACATCCGGATTTCCAACACTAGTGGGAATTAAGTCAGTGCTTCTACATGGTGGTTCAGAAACTTGGCGCGTCACGAAAAGCATTTCCAACAAACAACAGACATTCACCAACAGCTGCCAGCTACACTAGCTCACTGGATACTGAAGATGGAGATCAGATGGCCAAAATAATAAGAATAAGGGACAAGGAACTCTGTCTGTCAACGAACCAACGAAGCACCCATTATCCAACAAATATGTAGATGCAGAAAGTGGAGATGCATTGGATTGGGCATACACTGAGAAGACTGACTGGAGACATCACACGCCAGAACCTCTAGTGGAATGCGAAGGGGAAACGACGAGTTGGGAGTCCCAGGTGAGGTTGATATGGAAGAGATGGATGATGTGGGAAATAAATGGAAGCTTGTGGGCAGTCGTGGAATCAGGTTGAGAAAACTGCAAAGAAGAGAGTGAAGTGGCTACGTGCTATTGATGCGTTATGCTCCACTAGAAACCCAAGGGACAAATAATAAATAATTATAATTTCCTTCACCATCTTTCATTGGTCTCATCTACGTTGATGTCTTCCAACCCAGATAGTAACGTGGTTACTTGATATGGTGTTGTCAAGTCTCCATCTCCTACCTGCAGCCTGTTCTGCTTCACTTGCCAGTGTGTCGTAGAAGTATCTTTTGTCTTTGCGCGAACTCTTCTTCACTTCTTTTTCCAGTGTTGTGTTATTTACGCTGTACTCAGTTCCTCTCCTCGTTGTTCATCCTTGCACTGGTTCATCTTCTCCTTCATCATCTTCCTCTCCCTGCTCTATTAGTTCCCATGTGTCCGTCAAGATCCATTCCTCGTCTTATCTTCTTTCTTCTTCCTTCCCAGTTTTCTTCCCACATCTCTTTCAAAGAGTCCTAGTCTTCTTCCACACAAGTTCCTTCAGGGATGTTGCTCAATATCTCTCATTTTGTCTTGATAGCTGACGTGAAGATGTCGTTTGTAGTTTCGTCCTTCAGTTCGGTGTCCGTTCTGGGTGTTGAACTTCAACTACGGTCTATCACTAACTTCTGTGAAGGCTTTCAACTTGACTTTGAAAGTAGGTCCCTTGCAGTAGACAGTGATGGGTCTGAACTTACTGGTGAAGTAAACCTAGTTACCATGAAGGAGAAACAAACGAAACAATGGCCTGACCACTTGATAAAGCTCTTAATAAAGAGTGACCAGTAGGCTAAGTTCATCAAGTAAACGATTCAGGAGTTTAGTTGATATATGTCACGAAAAACGTGGATGAAAATTTATTTGCTTGCATTTGCTTACTATACCCTAATTTTTTTAGTCCTGAGTGTCATTGTAGCCTGCTTCGTAGAATGAATAACGGTATGTAGATATGACAAATAAACCGGTCATTTTTCCTTTACAAACTAGTATTTACGAATGTGACAGTTTAGATAAAGATTTGGGATGCAAACTTACTTGATTTTGCACTCGTCTTATACTAATTGAAGTCTGTTACTTAAATATGCCTATGAGAAAGTTAAAACCCAAACTTTATCACTCACTAATCTGACAACTGTTTTCGTAGATGATTAGTTAAACATGATAATCTGAAAAGCTTGCGAAGGCTAGTTAGTCATTAAAATAACTGAGAATACGTATACCAGATATTTGTCGAGTTCTTAAGCTCCAGAATATTCCTCCTGTGGAGGATACTACCTTGAAATTAATCATTTTTGCATAATTTACTGAAGTGAATAGTAGACTAGTGCTCACTAATGAGTAGCTTTCAGGTAGATTTTCATTAGCTTTTAGCTAAAACTCATAGCTAATAGGGTGAACCAAATCGATTTTGAGAACAGATGTCCACTAGCAACATTAGATACTTGTTGTATTATTTCGCAATCTGGTTTGGTTCTGAAACTTGAAACCATTGGATTCCAATGTAACTGCTGAGTTTTCAGTGAAATATGACCCACTGGAAATCTTGAAGACCTTTATGATATGAACTTCTACAACTTTATTGTTAGAGTAAATTAAAAATCCACTACACTTGTAAACATAATAGTGCGAATAACTAACGATAGATGAAAAGTTAGGGCTTTCAGTGATGAACACATGTTCTTTGTTCAACTACAGAAAATATGTACACAGTTCATTGTGTTCTGTAGTTGATTTCCAGTTGATAAGTGAGATTGTTCTCAAGTCTTTAGGGCCTAATCAGGTCCACCAATTCATAATACAGTGACCAAGTTACATGATACTTTGCTGTGTCAAGAAGTTTGCCATTCTGAAGCATTAATTCTTAACTTCACCCAGCTTACTCCATGACTTGATAACAAGCGATAATAAGCGGTTTTCATGCATGAATCCATTAACGACTTAACCTTGCTCTTCCACAGCAGCATTTCACCCCACTAACTGACATCTTTAAGAATTCTTCTACTTCTTCAGGTAAAGATAGCATAGGATATACCACAAAGCGAAAAGTTCATCAAAAAAAAAATTCCTTAAAAACCT